AGCTCCAGATTCCACATTTGGTACCTGGATAGAATATAGGGCTGTATGGTGAGTATGCATCTCACCCAGAGGCTAAAGGGCTGCCGAGTGTGTGAAGTGGTTTTATTCAGGCCATACCTTGTGCTGGGCCTCAGGTCAGGCCAGCTGTTGTTAGTTGTCATTGAGTCAATTTTTACTCTTGATAACTGTACATATGCACAGCAGAACTGTATTGCTCAGGATTTTCAAGGCTAAGACTTTCTGAAGTGCCTTGGGTGGATTTGAACTAACAAACTTTTGGTTAGTTGTTATTGTTGATTGCCTTCGAGTTGAGCATGACTCATAGTGACCCTATGAACAAAAAGCCTGAAGTCCCTCTACAAGCATCAACATTTATGAAAGTTCATAGAGTTTCCAGAGGCAAGATGTTTAGGAAGTGGATGCCACTTCTGCAGTCCCCTACTTTAGCTATTTGTTTCACCCAAAGATACCCACAGTACTGTATATTTTCTTATAGCATACCTAGAGACAATATCGCCAATGTCAGATGGATCTTGGAAGAAAGCAAAGAGTACCAGATGAATGTCTATCTGCAAAGGCATTTGACTCTGTGGATCACAACAAACTGTGGCTAACCTTGAAGCAGTCCTCAGAACAGAGCAAGAAAATACAGCATGGTTCAAAATCAGGAAGCAGTGCACCAGGATGCATCCCGGGCAGAACAGATCACTTGGGAAACAGGGCTTTATGACGAGGAATGTGGCATCGAGACTGGAGGAAGACTCATCAACAACCAACATTATGTAGATAACACAACCTTGCTTGCTGAAACTGAGGAGGACCTGAAGTGTTTGCTACAGAAAGTCAAGTACTGTAGTCTTTAATATAGATTGAAGCTCAACATCAAGAAGACAAAGATTCTCTCCACTGGGCCAACTGGAGATCCATGATGGATGGAGAAGAAATTGAGGTTGTTAATAGTTACAGCTTGCTCGGCTCCACAATCAACACTCTTGGCACCAGCTGCCAGGAAATCAAAAGACAAATTGTATTGGGAAAATCTGCTGTCAGGTGCTGCTCTAGAGTAATGAGAAGCAATGATGTCAGTCAAGAGACTAAGATACACCTGATCCAGGCCATGGTGTTTGCAATTATTTGCTATGCATCAGAGAGCTGGACAATGACTAAGGATGATAGAAGAATTGTTGCCTTTGAGTTGTGGTGCTGGAGAAGAGTCTTGAACACACCATGGACCACCAAGAAAACAAATCTGTCTTAGAGAAGATGAAACCAAGTTTCTGCTTGAAGGCTAGAATTTTGAAGCTTTGTCTCACATACTTTGGGCATGCGGCCACAAGGATTGGTCCCTGGAGAAGGACATCATGCTTGGAAGGGTGGAAGGACAGGGCAAGAGAGGAAGATCCTGAACGAGATGTATCAACAGAGAAACGGGGGCAGTGGGAGTAAATGTATGAGAGTCAGTGAGACTGGCTCAGGACAGGGCAAGCTACAGAGCTGTTGTAGTCACAGGTGACTCAATGGCAAATAACCACAATGTAAATAAGGAGCACACAATAATAACGTGCATTGTACATTAGGAAACTGACCAATTAAGGGAGTTGCTGGTTTTCAAGAACCTCCTAGCAGATATTATTTGTATAAAATAATAGTAATTACTTCACACCCCCAGGGCTCTCTAGGAGCATAGTCCAAAGTGAGCTAGGCTGTTAACCCAAAAGCCTGCCTCTCTGGAGGTTCTAATCCACCAGCTGGTCTGAGGAAGAAATTATAGGTAATCTCTTCCCATGGGATTTATAGCTTTCAGACACCTGAAGGAAGTTCAGTTACAAGTCAGTTCCATAAGATAATGAATGAGTTGAATTTGATGCTCACACGCTAAACAGAACTTTCTCACACCCAGCTCCCTGCTGCCATCTGGTGGTTATCAGGTGCTGAAGCCTCAGCTGGGGTTTGGGGTGCAGTCAGTGGGGCGGCCTTCCTCAAGGTAGACCTCCTTCAGAAGGTATTGGGGATAGGCGTGGGGGAGGGTGCTGGTGCCCACAGACAAACTTACTTCAGCCACCTGGAAAAACTGGCACGGGAGAGAACAGCCCAGTCTCTCCCCTTGAGCTCTTCAGACCAGCTGGGATTCTATTTTTAACCAGCGCTGTCCGAGGTTGACAGCTCGGAACGCCTTCTCCCTCATTTTCTTCCTTACTCCTGCAGCCCAGAACTCTGTGGAGATGATGGATGGAAGCAGCCCCAGCACCAGTAAACAGAAGACCCACTCTCCTTTCTCATTACCCTTCACTCCACACTTTCAGTTCAGCCTTTGCTGAACGTAATGAGTGGGTAAATTTTAGAGGCATGTTGACTGTGAAACTAATTAAGCTTCCTCATAGGGCTCCTCACTTGCATAGGCCCCCTCCAAGGCCTTGGTCAGAAGCTTTGAAATTTTTATCCTAATTCTGTATTCTTTTTCTTTCAAAAGGACATTCCAGGGGAATAATTTTCAGGCCTGGGAAAGCATGGGTGTGGCTGCTTAGCCATCTCCAGCTTAGTTCCTACTTTCGTTACTTTTCTCTGCCTTTCTCTAATGCACTGTATGACCTGGAGCAAATGTTTTTCCTGCTCTGTGTCTCAGTTTCCCCATTTATTACAAGATGGAATTTCAAGGAATCTCTTTCCCAGCATACAATCCCTCTGATGCTCTGCATCGCTCTCTCTGGTGCTGTCATCAATTTCTCTTTCCCTATTTATCATTGTGTGTGTGCAGGATAATGTTGCTCCTATCTGCTTTTCTCTGGACATTGATTGGCTCAGAGGCTCACAGTTTAGAAGAAAAAAAAAATAGCAGACTTGGCTCTGGGATTTATATTCTTTATAGTCAGCTCTTATCCCTGCCTCCTATCCCTCTGCCCTCTTTGCTGTGTCTGCATTAATAAGGGTGCTGCCATGGGGCAGAATCTTGGTCAGATTCTGACACTTGAGAAGAGTAAATGCATTAAAAGATCCTACTCTTGACAAATACCATACATATTTCATGTGCATGATCTCACTATATGGAATACTTGGAAAAGGAAAATGTAGAGATCACAGTTCAATATTGGTTACCAGGAACTGGAGCGGGGAGGAAGGGAGGAAGCATTGTTTAAAGTACTGAGTTTCTGAGGATGGAACATTTGATAACAGAAATTTGGTGATCTTTAGACAATAAGATTGATGTAATTGACCTCACTGAGTTGTCTATCTGAAAAATGTAGAATTGGTAGATGTTGTGTTGTGATTTTTACAATTAAAAAAACAAAACACAACACAAAACAACCCTGGTATAGTCCATAGAGAGTTGCACTCACTGCTTACCCAAAGGCAAGGCCTTTCTGATAGCTCAAATCTACCAGCTGTTCTGCAGGAGAAATATGGGCTGTCTCCTCCCATCCAGTTTAAAGCCTCTGAATACTTGCTTGAGCATCAGCCATGAGTTGGTTCCAACTCCATGGTAATGAGAATAAAATATGACCCAGATGAACTGGAGTTTGTTTTTTTAGGAAATGCCAAACTGCTTTCCAGAGTGGTTGTGCCATTTTACAATCCCACCAACAATGTATGAGAGTTTCTCTTTCTCTCTCCACATCCTCTCCAACATTTATTTCTTGCTGCCCTGCTAAACTTTGCTACTGCTACTGGAGTGAGATTGTACTGCATTGTGGTTTTGATTACATCTTCTCTGATTGTCAGTGATTTTGAGCATTTCTCTAAGTGTCTATCAGCTATCCGAATGTCTTCCTCTGTAAAAAGTCATGTTTTTTGCCTATTTTGTAATTGGGTTATCAGTCTTTTTCTTCTGGAGTCTCAGAAATACCCAAGGAAATTAGTGAGACACAAATGGAGATTTATACACTAATGTTCATAGCAGTGTTATTCATCATCCCAAGAACATGGAAACAGCCCAAATGTCCAACCACAACTGAATGGATTGAGAAATTATGGTACATTCACACAATGGAATACTATGCAGCACTCAGGAGCAACAATTTTAAAAAAATACTACATAACCTGGAAGACAGTGAAGAATATTATGCTGAGTGAACTAAAAAAGTCTCATAAGGACAAATACTGGATAAGACCATTATTGTAAAAATAGAAGGATAACTAGTAAAACATGTATGAGGATTTAAGGGGCAAAGACGTGGGAGCAGAGAGGTGAGGATGGGGTAGGGGCAAAATCACAGAGTTGCACAATTTAGTGAGTGGAGAGAGGAGGTAAAGGAAATGGAAAAGATCCAGTGGGAACCTGAAAAAACAGGGTAGTAGTTAAGATAATACATAATAAATGGGAATGATTATATGAAACATAATGTGAATGACAAATACTGTGAAATACAATGTATGCAAACTCAGTAAGCAAACCAATACAAAATAAATTTTTTAAAAATTAACTATAAATGCAGTTCAAGAGAAAGCAGAATCATTTATTATTTATTGAAGGCCCAGGTGAGAGAGGAGGGGACAGGGCCACAATATTTAACTGGAAAAGCATGAGGGGATTTTTCAGTGCAAACCAAACTGTTGGTCAGGAAGGGACGAGTTTAAGCCAGATGGATGGCCTTTTCAGTGCTGGAAGGGGAAGGGCACTGAGAGGTCATGCAGGGAGCAGCCTGGAGCCTCACAGTATCCAGTACCCTGTCAGATTCCATGTCCCTTAGAGGAATCATTGCCTTTACTGCATGTGTGTCTTAGCGGCAGGTCATCCTCTGTCAGTTTCTACTGTGTCTGTCCAGAGTTGATTCCATGTTTGGGTGTGTCTGGCTCAATCCCATATCAGGAGCGCGATTTAGTTTCTGTGTGCAGGCCTGTCTGGTAAGCCACCTTTTCCTGTGCTCTGGTGTTAATCTCTCAGTCAGTTTTGGCCCGTATTTCTCATATGTCTGGATAGGTTCCAGTTTGTAGAGATTGGTCTCTATTCTGCCTCATCTTCAACCCTCTCTCCTCCATCCCCCACCCCCTCCCTTCCTAACCCCTCAACCTGGCCCCAATGTGCTGATGGTCGTATAGCTCAACCTGGAGAGTGAAGCTATGGAAGGGGTGGGAGGGTCCTCATCTGGAAGAGGTTTGGGGCGAGCTCGTGGCGGGCGGTGCCAGCATCGGGAGCACGTTTCCAGGCAGGCCTTCCTAAAGCGACGATGCATGAAGCAGTAGACTAGGGGGTTGACACAGGCAGACGCATAGCTCAGCAAGTGGATGAAAGAAATGGGGGCGCCCGAGAGCGCGCGGTGCGCACCAGGCCCGTCAAAAGCGCGCCAAGTGTTGGCACTGTACACCGGCAGCCAACACAGGAAAAAAAGCACAACAATCACCAACAACATCCGCACCACTCGCTTCTTGGCCAGCAGCTTTGCCTGGACGGGCTGAGGGCCTGCGCCTGCTCCAGGAGTGGACGCTGTCAGCGCTGACAACTCCAGTGCAGCCCTAGAGCGTGGAAGCTGCACGTAGCAGCCATCACCATCCTCGCCCGACAGTCCTCTTTCCAGCTGGCAATGCCCGTTCCGGTGGGCAGGATCTAGGCACAGAAGATGGGTGGTCAGAGCAGAAGGCAAGGTCTTTGTAAACTCCAACCCAATCCCAGCCTGGCCCCACAATACCGTTAGCCTCATCTGCAGCCTCACCTCTTGGAGAACCCCCTTCCGGCCCCGCCCACTGTAGTCCCCGCCCCTCCCCGTAGGTCTCTCAGGCTTGGCCACTCCAGTTTATCCACCTGGTCCCTTTCCATTTTGCAGTCCTCCTCGGCTTTGGACTCGGCTCTGACTCTTACTGTCACTGTCTCCGTCAAAGCGAAGCCCCAGGTAGAGCTCACGGGAGATCAGCCCATAGGCTACAGCCATGACGACACCTGGGACGAAGAACAAAAGCAGCAGCAGCAGCACTGACCTGGAGACAGAGCACAGACGAATGACTCTACCTAGTTGTCCAATCATAAATGTCAAGGACTGGGAGCTCTGGTGGCCTAGCCAGCAAGAAGCTGCACTGCAATCACAGAAGTGAGTGATTCAAATCCACCGAGTGATTCAAATCCACCAGATCCTCTGCTGGGGGGGGGGGGCGCGCACACACACACAATTTTTTAAAAATTTAATTAAGAAAATGTCAAGGAAGATCTCTTGAGACAGGAGTAGGATTCAGGGGGGTTTGGGGTTAGAGCTAAAAGAACTGGGGGTGAGATTCTACGTGGGAATCCCGGGTGATGGGTGCTAGAAGGAAACTGTAGTGGCAACTTATGGAGCAGGTCTTGGGGAATGGTTATAAGCATCTGATGGAGATGGAGAAAGGAATTTCTAGGACTGTAAAACACGGCATTCTTACCAGGTCTGGCGGACACGCGCACTGGGCCAGCGATGCACACACTGCAGCACACGGGGCCCCACTGACTGCACCGTGGTGTACACGGGGTAGGGCACCATGAGCAGCCCGGACAGCAGCCACGTGGCCACGATCACGCGAGCCGCATGCGAGCGTGTCTGCCACACACGCGCCTGCAATGGCCGGCAGATGGCGCTGTACCGCTCCAGCGCGATGGCCACGAGGTTTAGGGTGGACACACTCACAGACACCCCTGAAAAAGCAAAGAGAAAGGGGTAATCACCCTGCAAACTTGCACAATATCCCAGTCACGAGTGCGACTCCCCAACCCACCATCGAGAAGATACTTATATTCAATGAGGATTGTCAAGGGGGAGTGAGGAAATAGAGGAAGGAGTCTCACCTACCCATGAGATAGGAAACTGCCTTGCAGACAACTGTACCAAAGATGAATGTGCCCATGAGATTGGGCAGAAGGGTGAAGGGCATGCAGGCCACGGCCAGGAGGAGGTCGCTGACTGCCAGCGAGAGGAGGAAGGCATTGGTCACTGTCCGCAGGCGTCTGCTCAACCCCAGGACCACGATGATCAGCACATTTCCTCCAACGCTCATCAGAAAGATCACAACATACAAGGTGATTCTAATAGCTAGCTCCAGTTCTGGGTGAGAAAAGAGAAGGGTGGCAGTAAGAGGTAAGGTCCTCACAGAACAAAATCCCTCAATTCTACTTTCCCCCAACCTCCTCCAAAAGATAGCTAACATCCCTCTCACGAAACAGAACTTGATCCTTAGTCCTTCTACTACCTGGAGGCATCATCGGTTAAGTTGGTCTGGTTCTTTATCCATCTTAAGAAAGCCTGTTTCTTCTAAAGGTTGCTCAAATTATTCCTCCTCTTTGCAGCCAAATGTCTTTGAAAAGATTGTCTCTTCCCCTTCCTCCCACTACTATTTGGACACATTTTCTCAAGGTCTCATATATAACTCCCAAATCCAAAGGTCCTTTTCTCAGCCTTTTCTAATTGACCTCTGTGTAATGTCTGAAATTACTCATTAGTATTTAAAACTCAAATCCTTATGCTCTTAAACTAACATAAAAATAATTCATCGAGTCTCTACTATCTGTAACCACTTAGCATACTATTAAGGTCCTCCAAGCACTGCCTTCTCCCTCTCACAACCTCCCTTCTAGGTACCCACCGACGCCACAGGATGACTCAGTTTTTTTGGTTGATTTTTTGTTTAATGCATCATGTGCACTCATGACTCCCTTCCTAATCACGCTGGTTTCTCAGCCTGGAATGCTTCTTCACCCATCCCTCTTTCTCCCCATCACAAACTTCTTTTCAGTGTCTAGAACAGGAAATTTCTTGTTCATCCCTTGTCCTTCAAGATTCCAATCAACTGCCACATCTTTTGTAAAGGCTTTCTGGATACTGTATTTCAAGTTAATTTTCCCTTTCTCTGATTCATGCATGCTCCTTTTTACAAACATTTAGAGGATTGCCTTTGTGCCAAGTATATGAGACAAAAAGATGAATATAGCAAATTTCCTGCCACTGCCTAGAGAGGAACCTGATACAGAAATAACGGCCATATAGTGGTCAAATAGAGAGAAGTACAAAGTGCTGTAAGAGCTAAGGGTTGGAAAACTTAATATTACTCAGCTAGACAGAGGCCTGGGAAGGTTGACCTTATTCAACTGAGTCAATCTGCTAGGAAATTAATCCATCTTTGGGTTTCTATATAACATAGCCAAGGAGACTGTAGGTCAGTAGACATCCAGACAAAGTTGAGTTGAATTAAACCAGATTGAAGTGCTAATACACCCAGTTTCAAGAGAAGGAAAATTGGCACTGGAAAATAGAGGAGAGAGGAGGATGGCCTCCTAAGTTAGAGGGGTGGAGGAGGCTCCCTCTTCCATAGCCCTACACATGGCTAGCTCTTGCTTTAGTCCCTCACTAAACTGCTTTCTCATAACAATAATCAGCCTGTTTGGAAGCTGTTACATAAGCATCAACCATGCTATTTAGGAGAGCTCCCCAAACTGAGTCCAGCAATGAAATAAGTTGCCCAGGGTGACATTGCTAGTAAGAGTGAATTAGAATGAATCCAAGTTTCACATTGTTGTTAGTATGTGCTGTTGAGTTGCCTGTGACTCATAGTGACCCTATGTACAATAGCCCTGAACCCTGTTACAACCTGAGCCAACCTTATTTCCTCTGACACATCTACCCCCACTACTCCAGTCACTGAGGCAATCCATCTCATCAAAGGTCTTCCTCTCTTGCACTGTCCCTCGACCCTCCCAAGCATGATGTCCCTCTCCAAGGACTGGTCCCTCCTTGCAACATGTCCAAAGTATGTCAGATGGAGCTTTAGAATCCTTGCCTCCAAGGAGCAGCCTGGTTTCACCCTCTCCAAGATGAACCTCTTTGGTTCTCTTATGTTGTTGTTGTTCTTATGTGCCATCGAGTCGCCTGCGACTCATAGCGACCCTATGTACAACAGCCCTAAACTCCGCTCTGTCCTGTGCCAATCGCACTGTCTCCGACACTCTCATCCCAATTATCCCAGTCACTGAATCAATTCACCTCATAGAGGGCCTTCCTCTCCTGCGCTGTCCCTCCACCCTCCCAAGCATGATGTCCCTCTCTAAAGACCGGTCTCTCCTCACAACATGTCCAAAGTATGTTAGACGGAGCCTCAGAATCCTTGCCTCCAAGGAGCCACCTGGTTTAACCCTCTCCAGGACAAATCTATTTGTTTTCCTAGCAGTCCATGGTATTCTCAATACTCTTCTCCAGCACCACAGCTCAAAGGCATCAATTCTCCTTCTATCCTCCTTGGTCATTGTCCAACTCTCTGATGCATAACAGGTGATTGCGAAGACCATGGCCTGTATCAGATGCACCTTAGTCTCCAAAGAGACACCATTGCTCTTCAGCATTTTGGAGAGGTTCCTAACAGCAGACTTTCCCATGGCAATGCACCTTTTAATGTCCTGGCTGCTGGTGCCAAGACTGTTGACTATGGAGCCAAGCAAACTAAAGCTGTGTACAATCTCAATCTCTTCACCATCCATCCTGATGCTGCCAATTGGTCCAGTGGTAAGAATCTTTGTCTTCTTGACACTGAGCCTCAATCCATATTGTAGGCTGCAGTCCTTGACACTCTGCACCAGGCGCTTCAGGTCCTCTTCAGTTTCAGCAAGCAGGGTTGTGTCATCCACATAACGCAGATTGTTGATAAATCGTCCACCAATCTTGACCCCACATTTCTCCTCACAGAGCCCAGCCTCCCGGATAATCTGTTCTGCATATAGGTTGAAAAGGTATGGAGATAGGATGCATCAAAATGTCTAGCCTCCTATTGTCCCCTGGTTCCTCTGTCAACCATCATGCTGCCTCCTTCTCTTAATCAAATCTCAGTGTTGTTCTTTCTTCTCTATTACGGCATTTTTCACTATACTGTATACCGCCTACAGAGAATATGAGCTCCTTGAGGACAAGGACAAATGCTATTTTTTTTTCTTCTCTCTCTCTCTCTAGAAGTCTGCATGATGTACAGCACAAAGGAGGTATATAGTAAGTTTGTTAACGGTAAGAGTTGTGCTGCCAGCACAAAGGTATGTGATTCAAATTCACCAGAAGAAAAATGGGCAATCTTCTCCCATGTGATTTACTGCCCGTGCAAACCCACTGGCGGGTTAGCTATGAGTTGGTTCCGACTCAGCGGTACATACCAACAACAATGAACCTTGACAAAATTTCTATACAGCTCACACTTCTGTGCCTAAATTTCCTTCTCCTCCTTGCTTCTGCCTCTTTGAAAATACGGGGCGGGGGGGGGGGCGATGGAGGAAAAGAGGAGGGAGTGAGAGAGACAAAAGAAGGAAAGACTTTTGGGAAGATTTGTATCAGAAAGGTCCTTAGATCAGGAAAAGTGCAGCTGGTAGCCTATCTTGCACTCTGTTGCTCCCTCACCTCATATTATCGCCACTTCTGCCCTCACTCCTTTCTCTAATTCTATCATCTCTTTCACATCCTTTTTTGGATATCTCTCCTCAACTGATTTCTGATGTCGTAACCATGCCTTCTCCTATTTGTACAGCACTGTGAAGTGTGCAAGGTACATTTTGCAATCACTTTTCTGGCTGATATGATCCAAGTATCTTTCTTGGGCTTGACTAATATGGTGAAAGATAAGGTTAAGCTCTACCCTCATGAAATTCCTTATGTCTTTACGGACTCCTGAAAATTAGATGACAAAGCACCATTAAAAATAACCATGAAATAATAGAAGACAATGTTTTTCTATTTTTGCTGGGCATTCCTAGAAGTTACTTTATTTCCACCATCTTTCTGATAAGCAAAGTGAAAAAGACTCATTACAAGCAATCTTAAAGTGTGTGCACATGTGTACACCCATATGTGTGGAATTAGGGATCCCAGTGGCTAAAGTGACTGGAAACTTGAGGCAGAGGTGGAAAGATGGAAAATGGCACTTCATAGAACAGAGTCATCAGGGCTCTGACGTCTTCCTATGGGAATCAGCCTACTGGAAAGAGAGGCAAGCAGAGAGAGCATCAGACCAAACTCAGAACACTGAAACAGTTTCATTCTGGTTCTGCGGTATATGTCTCTATCCAGATTATAGTAGAGATAATATAAGCACAAACATCTAAACAATATGATACAAAATAAAAATAATGCTTTTCTACAAGGAGATTCTGCAGAACACTCAAGGTACCAGCTGCCAGGAAATCAAAAGACTAAATTGCATCAGGAAAGTTAGCTGTCAGAGACCTTTCCAGAGTACTGAAGAGCAACGATGTCAGTCTGGAGACTAAGGTGCACCCATCCTGGCCATGGTCTTTGCAATTACATGCTATGCATCAGAGAACTGAACAATGACCAGTGATGAGAGAAAAATTGATGTCTTTGAGCTGTGATGCTGGAAAAGAGTATTGAATATACCATGGACTGCTAGGAGAAGCAGGTTCATCCGAGAGAGAGTAAAACCAGGCTGCTCCTCAGAGGCAAGGATTCTGAAGCTCCATCTGACATACTTTGCGCATGTTGCAAGGAGGGAACCAGTCCTTGGAGAGGCACACCATGCTTAGGAAGGTGGAGGGACAGCACAAGAAAGACCCTGGATGAGATGGATTGACTCAATGACTGGGGAAATAGGGGTAGGTATGTCAGAGAAAATAAGGTTAGCTCAGGATAGAAAAGGGTTCAGGGCTGTTGTACATAGGGTCATTATGAGTTGCAAGTGACTCAACAGCAAAGAACAATGACGATAACAACAGCTATGGTTGATGTCTGAATGGAGAGGAATGCATCCAAATGATAGTAGTGATAGCTAAGTGAGTAGAGCTAAGACCCAAGCATGTGTAGGCAATCTTTATGTGAATATGAGTAATATCTGGTTGAATGAAATGAACTGAGTCTCTGAACAAACACAGGCAATATCTGTGACAGAGTGTGTGTAAGTAATACCTCTGACTTTATAGGTAACCTCTGTAGGGAGATTACCTAAGTGAGCATAGGTAGTACCTGATTTTGTAAAGTTAATGATAAAATGAAAATGAGAAGTGTTCCATGCTTGGGTAACACTTAAATGACTGCGAGCAATATGAAAATAAATTCGGGTAATGTCTGTATTTCTCTGGGGAGCATCTGAGGAACATGACTAACATGCAACTTTCTGTAGATTATACAAGGATAATTCACTGGTAACACAGGAATGATCCTGGATAACAGATGCATCTGCAAGAGTAACATCTGAGTAACTATGGAGAGCAGCATCTCTTTGGGTAATCTGACTGCTTGGTGACATGTGAAGGTGGGTGAATTACAATTTCCAGATGCATGAGACCTCTTCTTGTTCTGAATCACTCCACTTCTGCCTTCCTCATGGACCTCTGCCCATCTGATTATCTCCTCTCCTCTCTTATGCACCTTCAGCTTCCTTGCTCTTGCTTTGTTTCCCATCAACATTTTTTAAATGCTCTTGCTCTACTACTAAATAAACCACTCCAACAAACCCAAACATATATGAATGAAATAAAACCTTTTAATGTAAAAAAAAAAAACCAAAGAGAAAACTACACACATATTCCTTTCTCAGTCCCAAGCATTGTCCCAAACTATCTTTGTTTCTCTTTTTGCCTACACAATATCTTTACAGTTTTAACCACACACCCTAGTTTGCCTCTCAAATCTCTCTTGCACAGGCCTAATCTTCACCTATTAGATAGTACGGCCTCAGCACCCACAACTTCACCTACAGTTTCTCTGCTATTAAATCTGGAGGGCACTGTTATATTCTTACCCAACTACTACTCTGCAGTATTTGATCGCATTTAACTCATGCTGCAGGGGCCCTAGTGGTGCAGAGGCTGAACACTCAGCCGCTAATGGAAAGGCTGGTGATTAGAACTTACCCACCACTCCACAGGAGAAAGATGTAACAATACACTTCCATAAAAATCACAGCCTTGGAAGCACCGTCTACTAGTCCTACCTTGTCCTATAGAATTGCTGTGAGCCAGAATCAAATTATCAGCAACAGGTTTGGGTTTGGACCCCACCCCGCTTAAAACTCTCTTTTCCCTTTACTTCCAGAAGGACATAGCTCCAATCTGATATTTTGGTTTCGAAGTCTTCCATGACCTTGCCTGGCTTTTAAACATTGGTTTTCCATAGGATTCTAGGAGATGTCTTTTCATCCTACATAGTCTTCAGATGATTTTATCTAGTTTCGTGGCTTCCCTTACCTCTTTTATGCAAAGGCCTTTCAAGTCTGTATTTCTAGCTCAGATGTCATCCCTAAGTTCCAGACATATGGACTTGGTTGTTTACAGTAGTTTACTGGGTAACTCGACCTGGTTGTCTCCCTGGCCTTTAAATTCAAGAGAGCTTCAAATGGAATCTATAACCTCCTTTTGCAAACTGCTTCCTGCTCCTTTGCAATTCTTCTTCTTTTATAGCCCCAACATCCACTTAGTTGCCCAAGTCAGAAACCTGGATTCTCCCTCTTACTTCTGATCAATTGCCAAGTATTATTGATTCTCCTTCCCGAAGTGACTCTCCAAACCATCCATTTCCATCCCCACTGCCAGGACCTTGGTTAAGCCAGCATCGTTTTTCACCAGGGTCACTGTAATAGCCTTTTAAATTGTTCCTCTGGCCTCCATCTCACATCCTCCAATCCATCCTCTACACTAAACAACTAACTCTACTTTAAAACCTTTCACAATTTCTATTGCCTTCGGGATAAAATCCACACTTATTAGGTCAGCCTATAAGATTCTTTATAAATATACTAGTTTGATCTCCATCCTGAGTGTTTATCATTTCTCCTTGTTCGAACCACTCAGAAACTATGCCACATTAAATAAAAGTGACACAGAAATACACTTTGGGCTTTTACAGATGCTTTCCTTTTCTTGGGGAGCTTTTTGCCTCTTCTTCCTCTTGACATGGCTGGCTGCCCTGCATGTTTCTGATTTCATCTTAGATGACTCCCTCAGGAAGCCAATTTGGAACCACCAGCCTGGGTTTGGTGCTCATCTGTGTTCCTACTCTGGGCTGCAATTTCTTGGTCACTTACTTGCTTGTCTCCTTCACTAAACTCAGATCTGTGAAGTATGGGCTGTTTTGGTTTTGTTCAAGTCATGCCCCATTGCCTCTCACAGTCCCTGGTTCAATAAATATTTATTGACTGAAAGTCCAAGTGAGAATGTGTAACCATCAAACTGAGAAATAATATGCATTAGTTTGTTGACTAAATAAAAGCTTGAATTACAATGTGTTCTAACTTTTTTTCTTTGTTCTAACTTTTCTTAACACTGACCCCTGTCCAGGAATTCCCCTCCTAACTTTTTTGCCTACTGAACTCCAACTTTAAGGTTCCTTGGTTCCCTCTGTGATGTTCTTGGATCCTATCAGTCTGAACGAATTAATTCTCCCCTTCGGATGAGACAGTTCAGACTCTCTCATGCTGCTTGCCATGCCAACTGTAATTTATTCATTGGTTTGTCTCCTCTGTGCACTTGACTATGGGAACACCCTTAGTCCAATCCTCAGGACTAGAAGATTAGGTATTCAATAGCTACTTTAAGAAAAGAGGAGGAAAGATATAGCTAGGGCTGGGTCATAAAAAAAAAAAAAGATGGGAAAAGTGACAGTAATCTTTTGGAAACTGGATATTTTGGAGACTGGATGTAGTTTGAAAAGGGTAGTAATGATGGAGGCACCATGAAATGGGTCGATAAAAGAGGATAAGACTTACGGACAAGGAGGGGGTGGACTTGGGCTTATCATTAGGACATAGTGCAATGCCTTGAGGAAAACTCCAGCTAGGGAGACAAAGGGGTGTGATGATGAATGAAACTGGGAACAGCTCCCAGGGGTTCCACCATGAAGATCTCACCAGGAGGGCTAGGATTTAGGGTGGAGGGCACAGGAGGTTACAACTCCAACTACCCATTCAAGCCTTCCAGAATTCTCCCTCCTCCAGCCAAGCCCCATTCTTTTCCCCAATCTTGCCTGCCTTTCCTATTCTCCTTACCCGGGAGGTGCTGTGAACAGAATATACTGGAAGTGAGGAACCTAGAAAGATTGGCAAGAAGTCCTTGCCCCTCCAACTCCTTAATCAAGGAGAGGGACATGTGCTGGAGGAAGGCTGCTGAGATGTGTGAAGGTGTGATGAAGTTTTAAGAGCCATGGGGCTCCTGCAATGTGAGGGGCATCCGAAGCAGCGGTTTGGGCGTCTGAGCGGGCAGTGTAGAGGCCACGGGGAGCCTTTATTACTGCTGCAGGGTGCTTAGCAAGGAGCTGGTGGAGGAGGCTGAGGGAGGCACCCACCTTGAGTCCTGGCTCCGCGGGTGCGAGGGGGCTCACAGCTAAGGTTGTTGGCACTGCTGCTGTTGAGGAGGAGGCCCCCAGGGCGGCACAGAGAAGTCCCCGGGCCGGGGCCGGGGCCCGCCAAGCTCCGGTTCAGCCTCAGCAGCTCCATGGCCCAGCGGGGCCCCTGCCTCCCTCCGCCGCCCGGCGGGCTCCCGCCGCGGCTCCACCTGCTCCCGCGGCGATTCCTGCTCAGGCGCCCGCCCCCTCCCGGCCCCCGCCTGCTCCCCGCCCCCGGCTCGGTCCGCGCCTCCGCTCCCCGCTGCCCGGGCGCTTGTGCCTCGCTGGCGCCGGACAGCGTCTGTCCTGCCAGGTGCTCCCTCCACTCCAGTCCCCTGCTCCTGACTCACCCGCCTCCTCCCTACGTGACTGCACTCCTAGGGTTGCCCCCTCCTTCGATTTCTTCCGCCCCTCCCTTAGAGATTTCCTTCTTTCCCCGCTCTCCTCGCCCCCACGCCTAGTTCCATGCAAATGTTGGGGGAGGGGAAGTAGCTAGGAGGGGGGCAGGCCCCTAGGAGAGGGGGCAGGCCCTGAGTGGGGGTAATAAGAGAGGTCAGGGGGGGTGACGCTGCTGTCTTGGGGGTCACCCACTGCAGCACGGATGCCTGAGCGCGCGTGCAGCGCCAAGGTTAGGGTACTGTGCTGCAGCGCCCAGCGCTTTCGACACCCTAATGCCTTGCAGCGTCTCACCGCGTGTCTGGGGTAGCCGCTGCATCTGCCATGGCACCCTTGTCCTCCTACCCAAGGTCCAAGCCCAGGCTCCAACCCAAAGCTCCTGAGAACCTTCAATAGTGGGTGAAGTGGGAGAGTGGAAAGATTTGTCCCCAAGGAAGCCCCGGAGTGGGAAAGAGCTGCCTGGAAGAAGCCTCTGACTTGGGCTTGGAGGGCAGTCAGGAGAGAAGTGACCAGGATAGACGGGAGTGGGGTAGGGAATGGCTCCAAACTCAACCTGACGCAGACAGGAGGCTAGCTTTCCCGCCGTCTCCAGGCGGCACCCACTCCCATCCGACACCCTAATCTCACTATTTGCCCTCAGCGCAGGTGAAGCCTTCTGTGTAGGGTGCCAGAGTCCCACAAGAGGGGGTTGGAAGGGGATTGGGTCACTGGGGAACAGCGAGAACAAAGCAGCTTATGGATTCGAACCCAGTGCCTTTGTATTGGCAGCACAACACCTCACTAGCCCAACAGAGAAAGCTCCCTGGCTTGGAATGAAATGCGTCTGGCTTATGGAGAATTTTGAGGACCCGGTCTAGTGAGGGCCGAGTTTTTCCATAGCTAAACGGTGATGGAGGGCTTCAGCTGGGGTGGGTGGGGATGGCCTTAGCTGCTCCCCCTTATCTGCCCCCTAGCACTGCCTGCCTTGCTCATCAGCTAAGCATGGTTTGCTGTTTGCTCTGGGCCAGCCCAGGTGGGGCCTCAGATAACCTGCTAGACTTTTCCCACACTGGATGGAGAAAGGGGGTGAGTGTCAAGGAGCAAAGGGAATGTTGGGGAGAGTGAAGACGAAAAGGAGCCAGAGAGAGGCGTTCATGAAATCACAGAAGCCATGGAAGCTTCATATATAAGTTATTAGATGGAGGGCTGGTGAAAGGGAGATAGATGTGAAGGGAGGGGGTAGAAGTGGATGGATATCCTGTGGGATGGTGAAGCAGGAAATAAGTGC